ATGCAGGCACCACTGCTAGCCTCAGTGCAACTCTACAGAAGACAGAAAACTATCTATATGCTCTGTAGTGTGGCAACAGTTAAAGAGCCACTGCAGGGGATGGAAAAGACACTGCATAGCACAATATTCCTAAATATTTTGGGGGCTTGGTACAGCCCCCCTCCCACCTTGTCTCACTGGGCAGGAGACTGAAATCTTAACTGGATAGCAGATGAAGGAAGGGCAGCAGCAGAGCAGCCTGGAAGAGGAGCTGCCCCACGTCTTGGTGGGAGTGACCTATTCAGGTTGCCCTGGAGGAGAACAGCTGCAGGGGTTCCCACAGCTTAGACACCAATTTGGTAGAAATCAGCTTTTCACACAGCATCAGTAGTGAAGCCTCAACAAAGGGAGATCAGCTCTACAAAGAGAAGGGCCTCTCCTGGTCATTAAAGCATCCCAGCTCCTTCTGGAGGTACTTCGGTGTGCACAGTCTAGGGTACAACTTTTTATTCAACAAGCCCAGTAACAAAATATGTGCAAGGCCTAGCAGGAGCATCTGCAATATTCTCATGAACCTACCCAATAGATCAAAGCAAATAAGACTTGAGTTAAAGCTGCTGTGTGACATGAAACTATAGACAATAATTTGACTCTCACTTTTTGGTTGTTCTATGAGCTATCCTTACAAACAGGAGACCTCAGTGCCCAGGGTGAACAGCCATCTCAGAGCCCAGGTGGTTCTCTTACCTATATCTTGCTCAATGAGCCCTTTGTCATTGCACTTCATTATGTGATCGCTGAGGTCAGCTTGAGGAACAAGATGGCGAGCGTTGAAGGGGCACGTGGCCAATTCCTTTGCAACTTCAGGGTAGCTCTAGACAAGGGAAAACCAAAATCATGTGCATATCTCTCAAGTTCACTTATCTCTTGCTAATCTATAGAAAAAAAAAAATCAAGGATATTTGTGATGTTGCTTTAAAAGTAAAAGACTGAGCAAGGCATGGCAATATATTGTTCAGACACTTACTAAAAATGCAAGGAGAAACTAATGTGACTGTTCTTTAAAACACAATTCACTGAGAAACTGAGCCCCTGGAATGAAACATACCCTCAGCTAAACTCCCTATAGTTTGCTGTAACACTGGCAGTATGGTTGTGTCGTTTAAAGCACGGACGAAACTATTTTAAAAACAACAGGGGAGAGATGTTAGGCGAATCTAAACCATTTATATATTTTTAAATAAGCAGGCACAAAGACAGAGAAATTCCTTAAACCTTTCAAAACAGGGAGTTGGTAGCATTCCACCTGCAGACTTTGGTGCCACAGGATTATCATACAAGTAAAACAGAGACAGACACAGGTTCTGTTGGCAGTGCTCAGCTGTCACGACCGTCAATTGGCCCACCCCCTGCAAATGATACAGCCTTTATCCGGAAAAGCACGACTTTGCCACTGTACCAGTGCCTGCCTGGTTCCGGCTGACGCAGCTCGGCTGGTCAGGGATCAGACCTGCCCCTGAGGCAGAGGCAGAAGCACCTTTTCAGACGCTGCTGGAGGCCAAGTCTCCTCCATTAGCGCTGACGCAACTGCAGCACAGGCTGCAGGCACATCCAAGGCATTTGTCATTACCCACCCTATACAGCCAGGGTTGCTGTGTCCCTGTGTCCATCATTTGCCTCAACAAGCTTGACCAAGCTATCCTGGCTGCACAGCAGAAGCCTCTCTGTGCTAACGCAGTTCAGGCTGCCAGGACTCTGCCTGCAGTGGCCCCGCCAAGGCAGGGCTGCGTTCTGCACAAAGCAATGGGACACCGGGGCAGGCGGAAGCGTTTAATTGGGTTTTACGCATTGGGTATGCAAAGAAAATTCAACACATGACCAAGCAAGAAGGACAGTCTCTGCCCAGGCACTTGCCACTGCAAACAATCACAGTGGCATCTTTAGATGGATTGGACGATCACCCTGAGGACCCTTCTCCTGCTGTTTACTTACAGGCACCAACTGTGTCCGACTGGCGATCACTGTCTTACCGCATCCTCTTTACTAGGTAAGCTTGCCAGAACTGTCTGGTCATTGGTTGTGCAATACAAGGACAAACCCAACGTGGTTAAAAGTTTACTTGCCAACACGGTTCATCTAGCTCACACACACATTCTTGCCAAAATTTGCAGGGGGTCACCACAGAAAATTTCAGCCCTCTTGAATGTTGGAAAGATGGAGGCACTGGCTGCTTAACTCTGCCACCACTTTCACTAGTTACTTAATGTTTTTTAAGGCTCTAGTTCCACCAAAATGAATTGTTTGTAAGTACTGATACCAGGACACACACCCTACAACTGCGTCTTAACTGCAAGGCACGCTATTTTAAAAACACATTGGCAAACTAATTGGTAAACTTAAAGAGGAACAATCGACCTCTAAAAGGTCTCAGCAAAAACCCAAAGCTCAGTCAGATGCTAGGACTTGACAGGTTTAAAGAAAACAAACCATGAGGACAACAGAGGAGAAGAGAAAAAGCAATGCTTCCTATTAAACGATTTGTACTGAAATTCTGGATAAAAGATGAAGAGGGGGGAAAAACCCCTCTCCTGTATGTGCTGAGCCCACGATGTGCAGTTTCTGCCAGATGCACATTAAATAGTTATTAGCAAAACCAAAGAACCCAAACCCAACCCTCTTACGCAGCTGCATTTCCAGCACTGAAAGAATGAATTGCAACATCACTTCTACTCTAACTAGCCAGAAGGGGTGCACAGAACTCAGACTGAGTTCTCTCTTCACTTTAAAGTGCAAAAATGTCTCTGACCTCCCTGTGTGCTGCTGGAAGAGACCAGAATTTCCTCCCTGACCTAGCTATGAAGAATCTCTCTCCTTTCAACAAAGCCACACGTCTTGGGTGAATTAACATGTGCTTGAAGCTATTACTAAACAAATAATAAAGTTATATGAAATAAAGGCTAAATAAGGCTATTTGTCAGGAACTTACTCAGCCAGCCAGAAAAGGCAACAAGAATGAGAACATGCATGTCACATTTACATGCACAGAGTTACTTCCATTCAGAGCCTCGTTGGGCAGGCCAGCTTACCTTCCTACACTTGACAAGGTGATAGGGAAACCGACAGGCTCTGATTCGGTGATGTTTATTATACGGACACTGTATTAATCTCTCTGGATCCAAAACATCTAGTAGAACAGCGAGAAAAGAAAATACGTTAGAAAGCCAAGATCTAGCATCACTAACACAGTGAAGCGGGGAAAAAAAACCATACCACCACATCAGGGCTGTGATCTTAGGGAGTTAAACCAGTTGTATTTAGCTTGAAACCACTCATTAAGGCAGGCACCTGTTTTGCATAATTCATTTTGAAGTTTGTGGTGACTGGGACATTAGTCAAAACAGAGAATAGTCAGTAGCACCGAGCATAATAACTCTTTAAGTTACCATAGGAGGTAGGTAACCACACTTAAAGTGAGTGAAGACAGCAGTACTTCTCCAGCTATCTTAGAGGAGAATCAGTGGGATGATGACACACCCACCAGCGCCTGCAGGAGCATTGTCAGTCTGAACCAAATCTTTTTTGATCAACAGCTCGTTTTGCTGGAGGAAGGCTGCCAGGAAATTTAGTTTAATTTCTGAGGAAGCAGCATGCCTAACATGGTGCACGTGACTTCTAAATGAAAGTTTTCATAAGCCATGCCATTATTTAGGAGCTGAGGAGTTACTAAACCGGCTAAAACATCTAAGAATCCAGGCACTGAACAGTGAAGCAGCATGAATGCATGCACACAAGATAGAAATTTTTATCTATCTATAGATGAAATATATAAATATTATTTTCTCCATTAAAAAACCCACAGTTCATATTCTCAGTGAGGAAGAGAGGCAGTCAGAAGGAGACAGAGGTCCCCTCTGCTGCCTGTGGGTCTTTGTGGGGTACAAACCAGGGAGCCACACCAGGCTTCTTTCATCCTTTCTCCTCTGCCACTGTTTTTGCACAGGCTTTTAGCACATTTAGGATTTGATTACACAGTAGCTTCAACAGATCTAAGTACAGGCTACTACTGTTTAACCTCTGCCCTGCCATCACATCCCTTTCTCTTACCCGTGCATTGGTGCTCAGTTACAGCCAGCTCAGGGAGCTCTATCAGCCCACAGGCTGACAGCTAGTTAAGTCGTCCCGCAAGTCACAACGAGCACACTTCATGCTGTAAGCCCCCAGGAAGGAAGGACGGATGTAATCCTTCCTTCCACCTCTGCTGTGCAGGGCTGCTGCTGTCAGCTCTGCCACCTGCGAGCACCTCTCACCTCCATTAGCCAGTTTAGGCCATTAGAACAGCTGAAAACTAAAGACTTTATCATTAAGGATTGACAAGCTTTGCAGTAGTTCAGCTGCCCCTGGGAGAGTGATCAGAAGTGGTTTCTCTCTGCGAACTGGCTCAACACAGGATCAGACCAGGTGCATTACCAGTAAACAGAAGGAGACTCCAGACGAGTACCAGAGGAAAAGGAAAGTCCTCACCACAGTATGTGAAGAGGCAAACATGATAAATCACAGGAGCTGGCTTGATGAGGGAAGTAGATGGAGTCAACACAAGGCCGCAATGAGCACAGCCTCTGCAGCACCACAGCAATGCCACGTGCAAACGAGATCCCTCTCCCTCAGCCAGGCCGCGTGCAAACACAAACCCACAACCGCCCCCAAAACGCACGGCTGGAGCCAGCTGAGACAACAGCTACGAGGGGAGACACACCGCAAACAAATTAAGTCACTTTATTCAGATACTTCCTAAAGGCCAGGCCCCAGAAGGACGCCTGGTGCGGTACCGCACAGCACTGGCCTAGAATCAACAACCCCCTGGAGCCCGCTTGGCTCAGACAGACCCAGACCCAGACCCAGACCCAGACCC